GGAATCATAAACCATTTACTCACACTTCCTCTGAGGACAGCCTGTTGTGTGCAGTGCACAGCCATGTTACACCCCGCTGGGGCCAAGTAATACATTTTGTCTCCACATCTATACAAGTGTAATTGTTACACAGCTACAACTGCCATGTTCCCACACGGGACAGTGCAGAGTGGACTCTCACCTGAGCCAATTAGTTCACAAGCAGCTGCTACATCAGGCACTGGGACCATTTTAATTAGACATAGGAACTCTCAATGGACACTGTAGACAATTGTCACACTTGAGCAATGTATGGTTCTCACTCCCTTTAGGCTTCAATAAGTATAATTGTGTTTTTATAAAGAATAAAATCACACACCTACAGTTGTCTCACATAACAGACAGCCCCTTTTCAAGGAAGATATAAGAATTGCAAACAGGGACGGTTTAAAAAACAGTATACTCTAAATGCTATTTATAACATGCTGCTTCTATTTTTAAAGTGGAAAAGAAGCAAAGATCAAAGGTTTGTCGTTTTCTTCTAGTCTGACTGTGAGAAGTGAAGATGAGACAATACAGAGGTTTGAGCGTAAAACAGATGCAACAAACAATTGTGAGGAAAGGTATGGTAGCTACTAATGAAATAATTTAAAACAAGATCACCTTCACATAATGAGATAAGACCAAATAATTGGGTCCGCTGTTTGCTTTACAGTCCCAAGCCCACTCTAGAAGACGCCCGCTCCTGGTCGGTGTCATTTGAGAAGCTAATGAAGAGTGCGTCTGGGCGCTCCTGCTTCAGGCAGTATCTGAGGACAGAGTTTAGTGAGGAGAACATGATGTTCTGGCTCGCCTGTGAGGCGCTCAAAAAGGAGACCAACAAGACTGTGGTTGAAGAGAAGGTTCGCCAAATATATGAGGACTTCATCTCAATACTGTCCCCAAAAGAGGTAATAACCAATGATAATCTAACATAAATGTATACTGTGGATTCAAATGATTAAGCAAAGAAATCTAAGGCTGAAAACTATTTAATTATACAGTAACTTAAATAACTTGTCGTTGATTTTCACGATTTATTGTTTATCTACTGTAGGTCAGCTTGGACTCGCGTGTTCGAGACGTTATAAACCGTAACATGCTGGAGCCCACCTCACACACATTTGATGACGCACAGCAGCAGATCTACACATTGATGCAGAGGGACTCTTACCCACGCTTCATCAACTCCACAGAGTACACGGACATCCTCAAGAGCCTGGAGGAGATGCCCCCAGAGCCGTAGACCATCCCTCATCACCTCACACTTCGCCTGGGAAACTGGATCCAACTTCGTCCTGCTATTTAAAGAAAGACAGAGAAAATGAACACTCTTTCAAAGTGGTCTTTGTCAGCTGTAACTGCTGTTTATTTACCCACAATTCGCTTACCAAATTTCCATGGAGCAGACAAGAACAAAATGCTTGTTCCAGCATTGGTTACTTGTTGGACAGCATATCTATATTTTTGTATATTCCCTAGAGCTTGACATTGCACTTTTCTACCTTGTTTAGTGAGAGAGAGCATGTACTGTCTGTGAGCACTGCATTTGCATTTAGGTATTTTGTGAGCCTTGATGCGCATCCAGTTCTTGTAGAAAAAAGTTGGTTTTCTTTTAAAAGGTAACAGAAGAGAAAGTGCCTTGGATTAAGATCTTCTCCTGCACCTTGAATATGAGCGGTGCCACTTTGAATTTACCCGTTTGGTGCTTTTAGCTCTTCTCAAAGATCACTTTTTACTACTGGAGCTGATCCCCAGATTTGTAGTAGGTCTTATCTGTGTACTTCATTACTGTGATATTAGTGATTATATTTATTTAACAGAAGATGGGAGAAATAATGACCACTGATATATTTATGTATTTAAAAAAGGGAGTTATGTGGACTAGTTATTTTAATTATTACAAATCAAATAAAGCACAATTGTATCCTTGTTTCATGTGATATGTTTACAACTTGCATATTAGGTTGCATTCAAGGCATTACGCTTACACATTCTAAAGATTAAGCAAAAATAGTACATACGCTTCATATACAGACCACCCCAAGCAGTTCATTGCAAAACTGTTTTTTCTATTACCTAAATATTCCCAAAAAGCAAAAGAAATCAGCCCCAAGTTCAGAGATATTTAAAATATTTTAACTACACACACTACATTAACAAAATCAGTAATAACCTTTTATTAATAGTTGTTTACCCAAGTAGCAAAGCCCTACATTTGCCCTGGAAGTAATGGCTTCTGATGGCGTATACAATCGACAAGCAGAGTCTGACATCGTGTGAGGCTTCAGACTGCAGCATCACTTATAGTCTTGTCTTTCTGAAGGAGCAGTTGTAGTCTGTATTCGTTCCGGTTTGATTAGCAGAAGCGTGGTGTCACTGTCCGATTGTTCAGTGGGTTCTTGGGTCCACAGGTTCTCAGTCAAGGGCTCTGACGGTGTGTGTGTGTGTGTGTGTGCACACAACCCTCTTCATTCATTTCCGATGGGAGGAAGTGTCTTCTCTATGAAATGCTTTATGTCTGCCATTTCCTGCAAAAATAACACAATATTTTTGTTTAATACTTTAATACACTGACTGTGTCTAGAAGAACTAGGGATGTCTAAAGTATTGAAATTCAGATAACTAGTACTAAATTCAGATAACTAGATATTAAAAACTAGTATCGAAACCAAATTCGATTTGAGCAAACATCACTACAAAAAGTCACATTCACAGCACAAAAATTAACCATCTCTGAATAGTATGAGAATAATTTTGAGCAGTATCAGAACAAGTACAAGACCACATAGAACGAGGAATTACATAGATATAAGACTGCATGGTAATATAAAAGAAAATGCTACAATTTAAAGGTTGAAAATCACATTCAATTTTTAAAAAAAGATAGACTGGTTTTATTTATCATTGTGTTATTGAAATCGATATTGAGATTTGAATGTATTCCTTAGCATTTAAAGGAATTTAAAATTTTAGTTGATAGCGCTTAAAAAAACAACACTCTTCTGCCCTCTGCTTTTCCTTTGATAGGATTTCAATAGATCCATTTTAAAAAATTGTTTAAATTTGGCTTAACAACCAAAACATGCTTTTTATAAATAATTTTATAAAGAGTAATAAGTCATTTTGTTATAATTATGAAAAGCACTACATGATCTTGTATGAAGTATTACTTCTTAAAAAAACAGGTATAAGTGCTATTATTTTATTACCTCTTATACTTCAGTAGAATGTGTTGTAAATAAAACCTAATTTGAAAACATCACAAATCTAATGGAAATTGTAAAACCATACAGCACTACAATGTTACTTGAAACAGGATTACTAGAGTCAATCCAGCACTTACTTTTGGACAGGAGCTGTGAGAAAGATCTGGATAGGTATTAAAGGTGTAGTTGGCTGGGTTGATGAGGGTTTTCATCTTCTCCGCTGTCATTTTGCCAAAAGCATAATTAACAAGAGGGTCAGCATTGCCATGGCACTGCAGCACATGCATGTCCCTGTTCACACTATTGGCAGAGGCCTGACAGCAATACAAGAGATTATTTCAGATTACTTGCACGATCAGATTAAGATTCATAGATGACGAACACAGCATTTTAAAGCAGAGGGTGAAAAAGCATATTCTTATGTATTATGTTAATTGGTGTGTGTGTACCTGAGGGAAAGAGTCATGGAGAGGTAACCAACAGCTCAGAGCCACTACTCCAGCAAGTTTCTGGTGAGTCGTCAGAGCAGTGTAGAGAGACAGTGCACCACCCTATGAAAACAAACTAAATGTTTTCAAACAGCAGGATGCCAGTGTCACTGTATTTTATTAAACTCAAGAAAACTAAAACTATTACCTGTGAAAATCCACCGAGAAGAATCCTATGAGATGGTATCCCATTTTTTACTTCTTGATCTATTAAGGCCTTAACTGTGGCATGAACAACACATTGATTACACACACATATTCATATATTGCAAAAGAGCTGGCACTTAATACTTTACAAACATACTGTTCTCTGAAGCCCTTTTAATCCCAACTTCATCTTCGCTTGTATTGAAATTTAATCCATAGATATCAAACCTTGGGGAAGAAAATCAAACTAGGATTATGTATATGTTGGAGCATTATTTATAAAAATGTGCTGTGTGTGCTGACCAAGATGGCATCACCATTCTCATATTCAGGGTCACAGGCATTGAAGGACTGAAAAACAAAAGGACAGTAGTGCATCTTAGCTGATGTAGTCACAACCAGAGCAAAGTGCGATCAACTCCTCTAGTTTAGAATGAACTTTGATTGTCTTTCGTCTACACTTTACACACCTGCTTTGGATACTTACGCATGTGGACAAATGCATTTCACATGTGGTATATTCAAGCTTTGGAAAGAATCAGCCCACCCGTGCCTGTCAGGTAGAATAAGGCAGTAGTAAAGTGAAGCTATATGTGTATTTACGAACCTGTTTTACATACCCGGTATCACCGAGCCCATGCAAGAATATCACCTGTGCAAATCAAAACAGACTTTAAGCATTTGCTTAAGGGGAGAAGAGCTCTTTTGGCAGCAGCAAGAGCTCTATTGAACACGGCCGTGTTCACACGATGCTGCTCAATCCTAGTACTCACCGCTGCAGTGGCTTTGCGGGCGGCAGGCACAATGGAAGCAGATAAAGGCGCTGACATATTATTGCCGCACATACAGCGCGGAGAGAACGGCTCTAACAGGCTGGGTTAGCTGCGGAGCTAAGGATACCCCTTGGCTTGGCTTTCTGTCGGTCACGGCGGACCTCTCACTCCGCGTGGCACCTCGTACAAATAGAGATGAATCGGTCAGTAAATGTTCAGTCTCAGGGCGATGTGAGAATGCCGATTAACCAGTATTCGTCAATAAAAGTTTGATTTCCACGAGGAAAACTAGAAGCTCAAGCACAGAAGTTGTCAGCAGCGCTAATGCCGACAGCGCTGCTGTAGTCCCGCCTCTGTATGATCTGATTGGTCAATACTTGGCCAGTGTCACGTGCACGACAGAAATAAGAAGCTGCTATTGGCCATTCGCGACTGTCAGTAATAATTCCCTTAATCGCTGCTTAATCACTCCTAAAATGACAAGAATATACATCTATTGATGTATATTTTCACGTGGAGGGCGATGTATCCGAGGTGTAGCATTAATAAAATACTTTAAATATTTATAACATGGGCATAGCAAGCTTATATCTTACAAGTTGTATTCTCTTGGATCCTAACGGTCTATGATCCTAACAAAGACATACACACATCTTGTTATCTCCATATAATCTCAGTAGCTCGAGATATTTTAGTTCTGTTTTTTCATCTTTTCTCTTTTGTTTCCCCCAGTAGTAGGCAGATCCATGATAGTAGTTACGGTAGTAGCCATGGATCTATTAGTTGTCTACTTTTATCCTGAAATTCCTCCTCGTAGACAAAGAAGCACTTCCGCTTGCGCTTGTCATGTGACCCGCATGTCCTTGGTTTGGCTAACTTTGACATGTGAGCTACAGAAACATGTCTATTCCTAAAAAACCCGGAGGAAAAGCACTCGAAATTTTACAGAATTTACCACGTATCTCATTGGCAAACCTGCGGCCTGAACCAGGATCAAAACAATTGGTAAGGCTGATATTAGGGCTGTGGTTAATCTGCTGTGAGTGGTTCATACAGCTAAACTTGTCATTGTTTATGCTATCCATGCAGATGCAGTCTAAAATATGTAATTTTCTCCATGTTTAGGAAAAACGGAGAGGCAGAGGACAACATGGGGGTAATAGAAGCGGCCGCGGGCACAAGGGAGAAAGGCAGAGAGGCAACCGGCCTCGCTTGGGATTTGTTGGCGGTTCGACTCCATTTTATTTAGCCATTCCAAAATACACTTACAACGAGGGCCACAGGTAATGTGTTTTTTGACGCGTCAACTGGTATTCCATGCACTAATTGATTAATCTCATAAATAAGCAAGTGTTTCTCCATTTCAGCCGACGTCCACAGTACCAGCCCCTGACGCTCAAACGTCTGCAGTATCTCATTGATCTGGGCCGTCTTGACACAACTCAGCCCATAGATCTGACCCAGCTCGTGAATGCCAGAGGGGTCACTGTGCAGCCCCTCAAGAGGGACTATGGGGTCCAGCTTGTAGACGAGGTATGGCCAATACAGGCCTATTCTGCAATAGGCAACCACGCACCCATAAAGAGTACGGTACAAAACATCGTAACACTACAACATTTTCACATCAGTATCTTTTAATGAATATTATTAATATTTTAACTAGCGTAAAGCGTAAATTCCACAATATTGCATTGCATTACATTTATCATACTATAGCAGCAGATGGCACTGTAGCGCTATAACATTGAAATGTACATTTAACAATAACATTATCTGCTCTGTTTTTCCAGGGTTCTGAAATTTTTGCTGCAAAAATCAACATAGAAGTTCAAAGAGCTTCTGAAGGAGCCATAGCTGCTATTGAGCGTAATGGAGGAGTCATAACCACCAGTTACTATGATCCTATAAGTCTTGGTAATTAAACTTTCTGCAGTTATACATTCACTCATAACCAATTTCAACAAATAAAAACATATGAATGTTATGTTTTTTTTATTTAAGGGATTCTCATCAAGCCTGTTCCATTCTTCTTGAGAGGACAACCTATACCCCGCAGAATGCTACCAGGAGAGGACATGTTGCCCTATTATTCAGATGCTGAAAACAGAGGTTACCTGGCAGAACTGGACAAAATCCAGCAGGCTCGAATAGCTTTAGCCCTCAAGTATGGCTATATTTTACCAGACATTTCAAAAGACGAACTCTGCCACATGCTTTCTATGAGGAAAGATGTCAGACAGATCTTTTTTGGTCTTTCTCCGGGATGGTTGGTTAACATGCCTGAAAAAAAGATTTTGAAGCCTACTGATGAGAAACTGCTCAAATATTACAATTCGTAGTGTGTAAATATAAAATAAGTAAACACATGTACATTGTTGAATAAAAATAGTATACACAACTAAATGGAAAATTAATTTGAAAGCATCTTTTAAATTCCTAAAAACCTTACTCTGATTTTCAGAATAAGGTTATTATAGACATTAGACATGTACATGAAAAGACTTATTGTAGAAAGTATTACTTAATTTTTTGATAATACTTAATTGTGCTGCAGTGATTAACAGAGTTAATCCATTGCTCTCATTAATGAGTGGTGCAAGGGACATGGACCATAACAGGTGAGGGGGAAATAAGGAAAATAAGATGACTCAAAGAATGAAAACAGGAAACAGATGCCCAGTGCTGTGTGTAACTTGCAAAAAGGCTTGTATGGATCTAGAAGGGGAGTTAGAAATTAGTCATACGCAGCTGTATCCTGGTCTGGACACTCAAAAGGGCTCCATACCCTACTGCTCCAGCAAATTTTTGAAAATTTTGCCCCAATAATTCTGAGGAAGTGCCACTAAGAAATTCCATGACAAAGATTGTATTTCTTTTATTATAGGATCTCAAAATATTTCATATCCTATGTATAAAATATGAAATGCAGTGTTAACACAATATGATTACATAGCTTAAATATTACAAAATTTTTAGCTTTGAGCATTATTTACTGTATGTAATCTTTCTAAGCTAAAGGCCACTTTGCTAATAATAAGTTGGTATTTTACTTGAGATATTGTCCTGAGGTCCACTAGAGAACAATTTCTGCTCCTTCAAAAGCACTATCAAAGGAAGCATATGTTTGGGTGAGTGTGCAATGGCTTTTGCTGTGTTGGTTATTCAGTAGCCTAGAATTATTCTTATCATTTATCATCAGATTTGATTGCACTATTAGAAAATAAAAATATAAGCTCGACACGACATGAAACAAAAGTTACATGTTGACTTCTTTTATGGAACTTCAAGTAAGTCTAATAAACTACACAGGCTGCAGATGCATGCAGTGCTGGCCTGTCAGGAAACCAGCCCAAATCCTTACAGCATAATACCGAAAATAAATCACACCACAGGAAAGAAAGAGCACAATCATTGTTTATGGCAGAACTACAGCGCTTATCTTCAAAGTAGCAGATCCTTTTGAGTCGATGTCACACTCACATTTCTAATACAAACTTCAGTCTATGAGTGTGCTGCACTAAAAGAGAATAAAGGATTTTCTGTGGTCCCAATACAGATTGAAGTAATTTACACTGGTTAAAAAGTAGTCTAGTCTTTGTTAGTGTAAGCAGTTTAACCAGTATTGCTATTATTAATCTAATGTCTGAGTCTCACTATTTAATTAAACATGGCCAGACCTTGCTGCAAAGGAGCAGGCTCAGATTGTTTATGTTATCTGCTCTTGATTGAGCCACTTAAGACAGACAGATATCATGGTGTCTGACAGCTCTCAGTCTAACTCCAGTTAATAATTAGGGATAATTATGCTTAATGGAGGCTGCTCTGTCTGCTGAAGTGACATATACCAAAGACAGTGGAGGATTAGTGCATACAGTGTATAGACTCACTATGGACCATACAAGACCAATTGAATTCAGAAGATAAGACTTATCAGTTACCAAGAAGAATACAGTTCCTCATTTGCACAGACAGTGCAGCATACAGTCCTTCATTTGCAGAGAGATGAGATGCAGTCCTCAGGAGGCAACTTCAGATGCTCACAAATAAGCTAGGATGCGCTGTGTAATTAATCATAGTCAATAAATTCTTGATAGGCAACAGAAAACTACATTAACTAATGTAGTCACACATAATAAAATGTTACAAACAACACTGAACAATTTGTAGCATAGAATAATACAAGTGTTAAAAATACAAATCGACTTTGATCACAGAATATGAATCCATCCTCCCACATGGCTGTGTGTTCATATCGTTGTTCGTAGAAGTTGCACTTAGACCACCTGGGCCCCAGCACAGACCTGAGCTGCTGTTTGAAGTCTGGCTGAGCCTGTCATGTTATCTGCACTTTGAGGTGGAGGCCATTGTGTTCTGCTAATGAGGCTACATTAAGGCTGTCTACACCAGGGGGTATGTAATCCTCTCAGCTGGCTTGTCGTAGGTCTGGGCAGGGCCTGTTGACACTGGGAGTGAAGAGGCTTGCACTCGGCACCCTGGACTTCACTACACAGTGCATCTTCACAAACAAAGTTCAGTGGGCACAAAGCACTCCATTGAATGCTGTCTGAGTTCTGTATTTTGATGCTAGCCTGCTGTGCCCATATAATACATTGCATAGATGGCACTACTATGTTTTTGTCACACCTCTGGCCATGAGACAATGTGCTCTGTATGAATGAGCCTCTGTAAGGAAAGTCTGTGAGGTGGAACAGACAGCTGCCCAGAATACAGTGCTTCATTAGCTCAGGTAAACACACTGTCCCACGTCCTGCGTTGTGACATCTCAATCTCATAATGGTAACAAGTGTCTCCAGGTCAGAAAATTATCCAGGTAACTGTGGAATCAGTCAATCGGAGGGAAAAGTAAGACAATCCAGTTCTGATATGCTTTATCCCAGGTGAGATGTTCTCAAAATTACAATACAAAGTTCACAAGAATAGAATCCAGTCTTCACCTGTGGTGAAATCACCACTAAAAAACTAAACAAGCCTCTGAAACAGTATGGTCCAACAGGCCAACTCCTGGTGCTCTTCTACCTTTGCCACCCAGCACATGAGTGATCCAGAGTGAAGAAGAGGCAGAGGACTGTCCCATATATGGCTTCTGTCCAGTACAATGGTACATTGTCATAAGGACAATCCCTACTCACAAAGCATAGTGACTATTGAGCCAAGTGCGGCCCTTGTTTGAAGATGAGACAATGCACTGATCCTACTGTCACCACAAAGATTAGGATTCATTATAAAATTAGATTATAGGCATAACTACCACAAGATTTAGATTTAAGACAATTATTTACTAAAGTAGATTTGGAAAAACTAAAAAATTTTAAGAAGACTATTAGCTTTTTTTTTTTTTTTTTTAAATAAACAGTATGCTTTCAGTGAATTAAACCCTTACATCCTCTAAACACAGTACAGTGGCTCAAAGTCAGGTAAACGCAGTCGAAACTAAACGTTATTGTATTCACGCTGTGTCCTTCAAATTAATTGATTAAATCCATTAGCCGTTTTCAAAGCGAAATGCAGCATGCGTTCTGATTAACATCTCGGATGTGGATTCTATCCCTAATACTGACAACCTGTACCCAAACATTAGCCAACCCCCCTCCTTTTTATGCAAATAGCTCAATCTCCCGAAGCTGTAAATATAGTTAAATATTTAATTTAAGGTAGGTTCGCTTTCAGTGGACATGAGACATCGTCCACATCTAATCAGATGGTCAAAGTCAAAGCTTAATTTTTCCCTTTAATCAACAAGTAATGAAATTTACTCGTGACTGTTTTGATAAAGAAAACCCCTAAATAATGTGTACCTGGCATGCCACAGGCACAAGTGTTTATTGGGCCATGTCATTATGCCCTGTCTCCATGTGTATTAACCTTCATTGCAGGGTATAATCCACATATTAACAACATAAAGAGACTGCGTTAGTGGCTCGTCTGTGAGACAAAGCCGGTCAGGTGCAGCTATTACGCACCGTGTACTGCAGCGCCAACGCAACTCCTGGTACTTAATGAGGGCTATTGTAATTTAATGTTAGTCGCGAGGGCCCAGAAAATATATTAATAGAAACTGTGCGGTGGAGTGAGCACCTGTAATGGAATGACTGTTGTAGTGAAAATGGAAACACGCGGCCGTGACTGCGGATTTTCTGAACTATAGCGCCAGTGGCTGCTGCAGAGGGCCACTGTTACTGTAGCATTTATATTCCATTTAGCGTTCAGCTAAATTCATTCATAGCAGGGTATACGAAAACAACTGTGCAAAGTTTTTGCACAATTGTGACATTAATAGACAATTATGATAAACAAGTAAAAAGGTCTATGTCAACTTTTATAAGTAGGATATCAATAGTTTGGTCCACATTAAACTCTATGTGACCACGCTGTGGTTTCTGTCTCACCCTCTCCTTCAGTTTTGACAGACGTCAATACACGTCAGCCTGACTCCGTCTGTTCAGTGAACTTTGACTTCACAAAATTTGTTGGAGAATGTCTGATTTTGTATGTTACTCTACGTGCTTCCATGGTATAAGATTATTCTCCCGGATGTGCTGTAGTCTATACCTCTATCTGAAGTGTCTCCAAGCTAATATTAGTGTGTCCCGGTAATCGCGTAATAAAAGTGCCTTGATCATTCTTGTCGCAGTCGCGTAAAATGTTCTCTGATACAGATGACCGATAAGAACTGAGAGCCTCGATGTAATTAGTAACAATCCATGCCTCGTGAACACTTTGATGTGCACCTATCAATACTCCTGTCAACACAATTGATTGGATTCAATTTCTCCAAGACATCTCGCCAAAATACTGTATATTTTCCCAAAATAATGTGATAACTGAAAAATATCGGTTTGCATTACAAATCAAGTGTATCATTAGTGTATTTATAAATGTCATATACCATTTGTATGTTTGAACTTTGTTATTATAATATAGGCCTATTGCGATGTGAGATCTACTCCAAATATTTATAATTTATTTATTTATTTATTTATTAATAAAGTTTGTCTAAGTCTAATGTGCTGTAGGCTCTAGCCAAAACGCGAGGAATTTAGTGGGCACTTTCGACAAGATCAGCTTTATATAGCTCCTTATATGACTCCGTAGGCCAAATAAAAAAGTATTTATTATTAATTAATTATTAAGCTCTACTGGCCATGAATGACAGACTTAATAGTAGCGAAGTTTCGCAAGTTCGTTGATTGGAGTTCGTATGTGCCTATCACCAACCTGAGAATACACCTTAACTTCACACCTCAGCTCCACTCCTCCTGGCCTCCCATTGGTGGATGGCCCTGATATAGGTTCAGCTTAGCAGCAGCAGAACATGACAGTGGCGTGCCACCACAGCCAAACACATCCAACAAGATGCATTTCAGCCAAGAGCGCGTCCAGTACCACGCAATGATGGACAGCACCGACGACGGGGACTACATGACCGAGGTGCAATCACCAAGCTCCGGGCCCTCAAGCCCTCTCTCGGTCAACTCCGACTCCAGCTGCACCAGTCCTGAAGCCAAGTCTTCCACACAGCAAAGGGTCAGGAGGCCTCTGAACGCTTTCATCATCTGGACCAAAGAGGAGCGGAGGCGCTTGGCCCAGCTCAACCCGGACCTGGAGAACACCGACCTCAGCAAAATACTTGGTAAGTCCAGTACACACTTGATTTTTTTTTATTTTAATGTATAATTTAAATAGGCTAGTTGCAGCCGAACGGTAAAAGTGCTCTTGATCATATCGGCCCTCTTAAATTATTTAACATAATTCATTATTATCATTATCATAATATCATTATTAAGGCCTTTTAAGAATTTTTATTTTAGAGAGGCCTATTTGGCCTACATATTGTTGTGGTAGAAGCACATTTCATACTGGCTTACTCAATATTGTTCTTGAATATTTTATGTAGCCTATAGTCCTATGTACTATTACCATAATCTAATCAGAATGTAAACCTTCTCTCTCCGCAGGGAAGACTTGGAAGGCCATGACTTTGGCAGAGAAGCGCCCATATATGCAGGAGGCCGAGCGTTTGAGGGTCCAGCACACCATCGACTACCCCAACTACAAGTACAGGCCGCGCAGGAGGAAGCAGCTGAAGAAGAGCTCCAGCAAGCCCCAAACCCCTGAGACCCCTGCCCTGCCATCTCTGCCCCCCTACTGCAACCCTGGCTACAGTGGCCCCTATGACCTCAGTTACCTGCTCCATAACCAACAGCAGGCCTATGCACCAACCCAGAGAGCATATTCCACAGTATTCCCAAACTCAACCAATGGTTTTGATGCTATGTTCCCTCCCACCTACTCTGCCGACTCACAACCATACTACAGCCAACTGCAGAGCAGCGTCCCCACAGCCAGCTTCTTGGACCAGATTGAGTCCAGGTTGTACCCCAGCCCCTCCCTGGACTTGTACCTGGAGCAGATTCAGTTGGACACTCTGTATGATCTGGACCGCAGTGAGTTTGAACAGTACCTGGGACCCCCTGCGCTCAGGCCAGAGTCTGTGGACCCTAACAGCTACCAGCTCAACTACAGAGAGGCGCGGTCCCTCTCATAACCCCAGGACTCTCCCATAAACAGTATTTATTTACTTACTACACAAGTGCAATTGTTTTGTTAATAGACTGTACATAGTGCCTTTTGTTTTGAGTTGTGTTCAATGTTATTGTGCATGAATACATATCTAAACTTTAAAATATCTCTCTTACATGACTGTTGGAGTATAATTACTTAATAATACAAGTTATAATACAAGTTTACATTATAAAATATTTTACTCAAAATCTTTTTTTTTTTTCAGCATACAGATACCAATCACACCAGTTGAATGTTCTAAACTTAACTGAAGAATACATGAATAAAAATATGTATGATTCATGTTATCACACATATATATGACACAACTCACAATAATGAAATTATAATGATTTCATCAATGTATTTTTACATTTGCCTTTCATGTTTGATACTGACACATAGGAGACACAGTGCTGGGTAACAATGCCAAGCTAGGAATCAAAATAATACATCTTTTGAATGGATTAAAGTGCTCAAAAAGTCCAGTGAATGTCACTGAAACCCATGAACACATAAATATACATAAAATGTAAGGCAATCTTACAACAATACAATCCATTATAACTTATAACAATATTAGCAAATTATCTGATTATTAGGCAAATACAATATCAAAATATTCTCTCCATAATCAAACAAGTGTGAATTTGATCGATCAAACAGTGAAAAGATACTCTGCCAATCTGCTTACAGACAGGTTTACCTCATCACATCAGTGTGGTAAATGTGGCGCCACAGGCAAACAATACATCCCCAAAGTTCCCCTTTCATTTTCAAAATCTTACAAAGAACCTAAATTTAGATCTTAAATCTTTACAGTGCATGCATTTCCACTCTCACTGGCTGCCAAATGCGTGCTCACTTACACAATCATGATAAGGTGGAGTTTGTGACTGTTATTGACAGATTTACTCCACAGTGGCCGCACTTGCTGGTCAGGTGATGCACAACAACTAATATCCTTTGGACTTTGAGAGCGGAAACGACATGAGTCAGATCTTAAACTGTGGGAAGGAAGTGATGAGCAGAAGGGCAGAAGGAGGAGAGCAGAGGGGTTGATTGGGAGAGAAAGGCCCGTCCAACAGCACCTGAACTAACGGAACTAAAGTGACGCGTGCCAACTTCCCACAACAATATTTACACAAGCAATGCAACCACCAGTGCAAAAATGAGTATTAAGAAACAGCTGGCAGAAAACAGCATATAGTACCTGACATATGTAACCTCAGAGTTGTTTTGCTCCGACTGTAGGCCCTCAGCAACAATTAGTAAGCGGTCACAGGAACTTCCTGAAGGACAAACAAGTGGATGAGAGAGTTTGTCAGAATATGAGGGGAAAGGTGGCTAAGCTATAGTTCATTTAGGCTGGATTTTTCTTATGTTGGACTGTAATGACTTTTTAGGTCAGCAGGGGAAGAGATGACAATATCACTGGACTGAAAAGGTGTAATTTATTGGTTGATTGGACAGATACTTCCACCATAAAAATAATACTACACTATAATAGAATGTACATGCCCTGCAGAAAACTGAACGGAATAGTTATTGTAGTGAAACAATGTATGACCAAATAGTACATTAAAGTGCATATGACAGGTTTTCATGTTTTTCTAATTATGACTTGCTTTGGTGGAACAGTACCTGTGGTAAAAACAGTTTGTGGAAGAAAAAAAGTACAAGAAAAGCACAGGAAGTAGCACTGACGTCTAAAATGGAATACCTCTACCTATGCCATCAACACCAAAAATTCCACCCAAAATGCAGCAAAAATTACGCACAAGGAAGGTATTTTTGGTTTTGGTTTAAAACTTCATTTAACAAAATAAAGGTGTGGTAATTTATTTTTGTATTTTTGTCAAATAATCACTATTGTGTATTATGGTTGCTACATAATAGAACTGGAATTACCTATAAGTAAAATAATAAACTTTACCAAAATTGTTGAAATAGAGAAAAAATGTCAAGATTATTAGTAAAATCTTTAATATAATCATGGCAATTACATTTTAATGAAAGGTGTATTTTACCCTGTCATATGCACTTTAAAGGAGCTACACCGGTACAGGAGCTTGCCCCGGCACATAAAAGCAGTTCTTAAGGTCAAAATGATATATAAATAATTTTTATGGAAGTAAGGTTGTTGTAAGTTTATAAGACTGTAAAAAAAATGCAATAGCTTTAAGCAAAACACATTGGTATGACATTAATTCAGTTTTGTTCAAAATTCAGTTTTTAAATTGTTGTTCAAATTCTGCAATTTAAATTTCCAATACCCATATATTTAGACCTAAACTTAGACACTTTATTGATCCACAAGGGAAGTTATTTGGACACAGTAGCTCACACATCACAAAATATTATAATTACATTTATGTATATATAACTGTCTTGAATATGGAATGGAAATTCTTACAAAGGTATCTGTAGTTCCAATAAAGCATGGACAAATGTTTGCCTGATATGAGGTCAGTAAACTTTAACATGAGTTTTATATATATTCTTTTATTACTGCCTTTTTATAGAACTTTATGGTATGGGATTTGTTCAGTTTTATAATTATTAAAAACGCATACCTCCCATCTCCATGTGGGAGTTGAGCATTCCAAACTCATGAACATTTTTGAGTTGTGTACTTTTAACAGTATCCATTTTCAAACACATTTATGTAACATTTGTTGGCGGAGATATTTCTCCACAAATGGTCCAGGAATGCCTGTGCTTATCACAGTGACACTTGACGGTGCGGTCGGTATGAGCAGGTCAAACAGTGGATAGAGAAGACACATTCCTGCTGCTTTACAGATTACATATTCAAACACTGGCACGCTAACTGCTGACTTTATGCCGCTCCCAAAATAGATCGGGCCCTACATTTGTGACATTCTTGAGATTTGGAGAGACAAAATTAGACCTCTCTTGTCTTACCTCCAGCCTGAGGATCCTCAATGATTTCCTGTTCTGGAGTAGTTTGGGCTGAAGTGAGCCTGCTGTCCACAGATAGTACTCATCCGTGTATTATCCTGCAGAGAGGAGGAAACTCAGGCAGGAAAAGGCCCCGAAGGAGATTCTCGGCAGTGTGCTCATCCTAGAGAAATACAGAGAATATTGGAGGATGATTTAAAATGGGAAATCTAATTAAGTCTTTCTCACCCTGCTGATTGAAGGAATCAAACAGAAGTACATAAAAAGAGGGGGAAGTATGAGAATGGCAAGCAAACAAATAAAACCGTAGCTGTCATATGGTTTTATAAAGTTCTGGCTGTGGAACTGAACTTTTTTCTTGATGATTAGGCTCAATTTCGTTCAGGATATGGCAAGATAAGTGCAAGACTGGTTTCTAGCTGGGCTTTCCAATTTCAGGGGAAAAAAATCATATAGCAGTTTTACTGGCAAATATAACAGTATTGCAATTGTGAATAAGTTTGCCAAATATGTTTTAAAAGAATAGGATTCTCTTTGGAGTGCACATTGCAAACAACTCCAGGAGCATTAACATTTGAAGATTGAAATATGAACTAATACTAATGCTAATAGTAATACAAGAATGTATTCTGGAACATATTTGTAGAGCTCTTAATTGCAGGTACAACAATAAAAAGACAGGATATTTAGTTCTTTATAAATTTAATATCAGTCTTTGCTACAGGACATTTGAACAGCTACATAATTGCACAAATAGCATAAAAACTGAAATTTCATTGCAATTAAATGTACAACTCTGGTTTCCATATGATCAAACCTATATCCATAAGCTCATGCCAGGGTATTGTCTGTGGCTGAGTGAATGCGTCTGTCTGATCACTTCATTATAGGTCAGTCAGCTGTAATTGGGCCTGTTTAACCTCATCAGACCAGCCCTCAGCCCTGCACTGGCCTTCACATTGTGTATGCTCACACTATCACACCTTTAAACAGAGGTACCCAACTATTCTGTATACAAACCATTGACTTATCTATCTCAGACACCCTGAATGAATTTGTGCCATGGATTTTAAGATACTGCTTTTAGTCATCACATCCTTTTACACAAATTAATTCACAATGTCTCAGGCACACATTTCAGACTACGTTGCAATCCATCTATAAACTCTGGAATATTATCTTTATTTCATTCACTTATAACTTTTTTGAAAATGTTCCCTTTGACTTTTTTGGGATTTAGTCTCACTGTATGTTTATAGATCCACATGGTTAAAAGTTATAAAGCATCCAAATATTTCATAACAGATGCTGCTTCAAGCTCATTGATCCTACCCGTGTTTGTGAGTGTTTATGTCTGACACAAAGCAGTCTGCATGGTCAGCCGAGGTAAGTTATGTGTTATTTAATTTAGCCTGTAGTCTATGGCTGGTGCTGTCAGTGCTGTCATTCTGCAGACGGGTCCCACCAGACAGGCTGATTACTGTAACGGACTGAGCGAATGGGTGTGACCTGCTCCATCAAAGTCCCTCAGCTCGAGACGCTAACACCTGTCAGCAAACACTCACAGTGATAAACAGAACACAGCCTGAAGAAGTGAGAGCTCAAGTTTGCACTCATTTATACAAAAAATATCATATTATTATTAACTAATGATGCCAAAAGCTGTTTCACGGAACGCATGGAGCATCTATAAAGGGAGATGCTGATATGCTTTGGGTTAAGGTTTGGTTTATCAATAACTATACTAACTAACTACTAACTGACTAATAAATAAACTAGTAGTGTCAAATAAATAACTAGTAGTGTCACTACTAAAATTTCACTTAATTTGATACTAAAGAAAAGATTCAATACCAATTTTGATACCACAATGATGAAAACACACAAACAATGGAATGTAATTTTAAGCACAAAATAATAATGCTTCCTTTAAGTTAGATTATTGGTCATGTTTATGGGATGTTTACAGTGTCAATACTTCATACTTACATTAAGTATCTATTTTCAATACTGGTTTTAGTATTAATTGGTATCTGTTTTTCAATAATTTTAATAACCCTAACAGGCATTCTACCTCCTGGTACTGTGTGTCAATAATCGTGCATAATAGAAATGTATTTGGAAACCTATAATTCTGACAGCCAATATGTCACTGTCATCTGGGGCCCTGGTTGTGTCCTGTTAGGGGCCCTCACTAGTTTGTGCTGACGTGTGTTGTTTAACACCTATGATGATTGACTTAGCAGGGTCAGCCTCACAGCTCAGCAGGGGCACCCTATGAGACCCTCTGTGTGTATAAGACCCACTGTATGTATGAATCCCTCTGTGTGTATGAAGCCCTATGTGTG